CCCCCCCCCCCCCCCCCCCCCGCTTGCAGAGCAGATGGATTAGAGATGTAATTTCTGTAGGCAATCTCTCTTTTGCCTGACCTTTTCCCACTGCCAGCACAATTGCATTGTTCTCAATGAGTAGAAGAGCAAACAGCTTACTCTCTTGAAATCTCTTTCTCTCCAATCTCTCTGTTCTGTGAGGAGGGAAGAAATAAGCAAATTCTGTAGGCAATCTCTCCTTTGCCTGACCCTTCCCATCCCCCACCCTCTCGCAGAGCAGAGAGAAAGAGATTTCAAGAGAGTTCTGTAAGCTGTTTGCATAGTGTGCCCCTGGCTTCCAGCCCCAGGCTACATATGCAGAAGAGCAAACAGCTTGCTCTCTTGAAATCTCTCTCTCTCCAATCTCTCTGCTCTGTTGGGGAGAGGGGGAAGAAAAAAGCAAGCAATTTTTGTAGACAATCTCTTTTGCCTGACCCTTATAAAAGGGCTAGTCAAAATACATGTTGTTTGCAAGGTTTAACAGCATATTCTGTTTACCGTCTCTATTTGTTTCCCAGTCGGGATTTTCTTCTTCACTTTCTGGGGTCCTTTCCTTAGTAATTTTAATATCTTCCTTTCCCCTGTGCCTCCCTCTTGTAGACTCTTTCTACAGAAGAAAACATAAAGAAAGTTAGCTGCTTTTCAAAGCAGAAGATGGAATCTATTTTTATGTTAGCTTTATTTGTTGTAGTGTAAGCTTCACAACTGATTTTTTTTTTCATAACTCAGTACCAAATTTTCAAAAACTGTATGCTGAAATATCAAAATTGATAAAATATTCTGACACATTTAGTAATATATCATGCATCAAGAAACCTACTTAAAGAAGAGTACTATTCCAGACAAAATGCTGAACTGTGGTTTAGATTTTCATAAGATAAGCAGAAGCAAGCCTTGGGCTTTAGAGTCCCTGAATATCAATATGAAATTGAAGGCCAATACTGATTATGCTTTGAACAAAGCTTTTAGCCCTTATGTGCTAAAAAGGAAAT